TTCCTTCCCCCCAGGCCAGCAGCGGGTTCTGAGTTGGACCTGCGGCGGGTCCTGCAGCGGGTCCCGCAGGAGCCGGCAGCTGGCAGCGGGAACTCCAGAGTGGCAGCGGGGCTGAGTGGCTTAGCCCACGCCGCATGCCAGTAAAAATCGGCTCGTGTGCCATAGGTTGCCAACCCCTGCTCTAATCTCCCTGAGCATGTCACAGTCACTATCATCATCCTGGTTAGGTGGTTGGTAATATATCCCTACTGCTGTATTCTTATTATTAGAGCATGGAATTACTATCCATAGAGATTCCATGGTATGGTTTGGTTCATTTCAGGTTTTTACTTCATTTGATTCTACGCTTTCTTTCACATATAATGCCACACCCCCACCAGCATGATCTGTTCTGTCCTTCCAAAATATTTTGTACCCTAGTATTACTGTATCCGATTGATTATCCTCATTCCACCAAGTTTCTGTGATGCCTGTTATATCAATATCCTCATTTAATGTGAGGCACTCTAATTCACCCATCTTATTATTTAGACTTCTAGCATTGCTATATAAGCACTTTTAAAACTTGTCACTTTTTAGCTGTCTGCCATTCCTTGATCTAATTGAATGGGACTTCTTTTCATTTGACTGTTTCTGATCAGATCTTACCTGTATTTCATCATTTTCCATCTTCTTCTCCTTACTAGGACATAGAAAATCTCCATTAATAGATCCTCCCCTAAGAGATGTTTCTGTCTGATCCACATGCTCCTCCGCACCTGTTGGTTTCCCCCCAGCCCTTAGTTTAAAAACTGCTCTACGGCCTTTTTAATGTTAAGTGCCAGCAATCTGGTTCCATTTTGGTTTAGGTGGAGCCCATCCTTCCTGTATAGGCTTCCCCTCTCCCAAAAGTTTCCTCAGTTCCTAATAAATCTAAACCCCTCCTCCCTACACCATCGTCTCATCCATGCATTGAGACGCTGCAGTTCTGCCTATCTAACTGGCCCTGCACGTGGAACTGGAAGCATCTCAGAGAATGCTACCATGGAGGTCCTGGCCTTCAATCTCTTACCTAGGAGCCTAAATTTGGCCTCCAGGACGTCTCTCCTATCCTTCCCTAGGTCATTGGTATGCACATGTACCATGACCAACGGCTCCTCCGCAGCACTACACATAGTCTCGAGAGATCCGCAATCTTCGCACCAGGCAGGCAAGTCACCATGCAGTTCTCCCACCCACTGCAAACCCAGCTATCTATATTTCTAATGATGGAATCCCCCATACCTATTACCTGCACAAACCTTGAATCATAAATCAGCTTCATAGCCCCCCATCTTCATTTAGTTGAAGTCAGTAAGGAATTGACTGAAACTAAATCTATTTAGGACACTCTGGAACTTATTTAAGAGTTTTCAAACAAGAAAGTGGTATCGATTAACTAGTTAATCAGTGCAACTTTTGTGTGAAGACAAGGGGTAAAATGAGCCCCTTTGTGGATCCGGACCAAAGTAACTTAAGGAGCGCAAGTCCCATTGAACATCAGTAGAAACAATATCACATGACTTAGGTGACATTTCACACAAGTAATAAAGACTAAGTTGGTGAAGTGAACAGATCACTAGAGCTCTGTGTGGATACAAAATCTGTATCCGCCTCCAATCTGCAGTCCCTCCAAAATGATCTGTGGATATCCGCATCTGCGGATGAGGATATCTGCGGATATAGAGTGGCTATCTGCATATTTGCAGGGCTCTACAGATCACAATCAAGCCAGAGTACAAAATTTACCACACTAAAAACAATCATTAAGATGAATTTAAGGTTACAGGAACACACACTGTCAGTGGATCGAGTGAAAGTTTCTTCTAAAAAATGTTGCAAGATTTTGTGTGTGTGTGTGTGCGCGCGCGTGCGCGCGCACGCGCTAGAATTTCAGGAAAGTCAGACTTAACATTAAATGTATATGAAATCCCAAAACCTTGATTGTCCGAATACTCACAGTTAAGGGAATCAAGTTGCCTAAACTGGGACCTCATAATGACACCAGCCTCCCATCTTCTGTGTTTGTATGTGGATTATGAAATATCCACCACAGATGTTTCAGTTCTTTTCTTCCTATGTTTTGTTTTGTTTCTAATGGTGGTGAGTTCAGTGTGGGATCTGGATGGTAACTGACCTGCTATATAAATTGCTGATTCCTTTTCTTGATTGAGAACGGTGTTCCTGATGCAACAGTACAAGTTTTGGTTTGAATGTTCTGTTACAATTATTGCAGTTTCTGTCTCAATAAGGCTGTTATCCCCTCGGGATGTTGTTTCAGAGAATGATAGTAAATGTCGCCCACTGAGATCTCTCCACAGCACCTCAGGCTCTGGGTACCACCCAGCTGATCGACAAACCACCTTGATCCCTCCATCGTGGTAACCCTCAACAGAGATGAGAGGAGCAGAGCCCAGACCTAAAGGGGAAAATACATAAAGGTGCTAATTCCATAAGTTAATTTATAAAGCAGAAGGGATGAGGGACAGTTTGTGGATCCCTTACTCACACGAGAATGCACTAATTCATGCGGGTAGTCAGTAGAAGGGATAAATGAATACTGGAATGTCTGAAATCCCAGTGCTCAGGGACACACAAAAATGTGAACAAATATTTACAATAGTTTCACTGAGTCAGTAGGAGATATTGTTGTCTCGACACAGGAGCAACTGAGTGCTGAGCACGTTTGAAGATATGACCACTTCATTTAGATACCTGAATGGGGTCTGAACTTTTGAAAATCTGATCATTAGTGCATTGGATAGATATGATTTTTTTTTTAATCTAACTGGTGTCATGGTTAGTGTCAAAGCAGCAGGGAAGAAATACTCAGTTTTGTCTAAAAAGTGGTAAATACATAATTTCCCCCTCCCCAGCCCACCATTATACAGTCTCGGCAAATAAGAAGGCTGTATTTGATTTTGACTACACTGTGATGTTGCACTCCATATGTTTTATGGAAATATGCTTATGAGTGTGAATATGATGTAATTGGAATATGCTTTATGCAAAAGGTCTCTTGTAAGGTATCATAACAAAGGTTATAACCTACTGAATATATTCCTCCTATTTGTATGTATGTATCACTCTTGTATCTGAAGCTAGAAATATGTAGTATAACTCCGAGGTCCTATTGTAATTATGCAAAGTGTGGGCCATTAATGGTGGTTTAGAATCTTGATGGCTCCCATTGACTAGCTCTGCCTCTTCCCCAAAGCCCCCAGCCCTGTGCCGCCCCAGCCCTGCTCCCACTCCTCTGAGGACTGCAGCATGGGTTTGGCCTGCACTCACCGGCAGCAGTAAGTGGAGCGACCCGGCCCCAGCCTGCTCCGCAAGCTCCCAGCCGTGCCGCCGGCACATCCTGGGGGGTGGTTGCCCCCAAGCCCCAAGGCTGGGAGCCAGGGGAGCAGAGCAGGCTGTGGCTGGGTTGCTCCACTTCCCGCCGCCCAGTGAGTGCAGGGCAGCCAGGCCCGACCCCGCACTCACCAGGTGGCGGGAAGTGGAGAGACCAGGCCCTAGCCCTCTCCACTCCGCGGGCTCCCAGCCGCACTGCTGGCAAGTACTAGGGGTCAGTCCCCCCTTCCCTGCACTCACTGGGCAGCGGGAAGTGGAGCGACCCAGCCCCAGCCCACTCCACTTCACCAGCTCACACCCGGAGTGGTTCGTCGCCCCGCACCGAGCCCCGCCCACAGCC